GGCGCATGTGTATGCATGCCCAAAATCCTGAGAGGGGAATGGAGGAGAAGAGATTGCTGTGTGGCCATCCCCCCTGGGGGTGATTTATCTCTGTCTTTCTCTCTGGCAAGCACACACATGCTATAGCAAAAATCTATCTAAAAAAAGAAAGAAAGAAAGAAAGAAAGAAAGAAAGAAAGAAAGAAAGAACGAACGAACCCATTAGTGGTTCCTTCCATTTCCCCCTACCTTGCGCCTCCAGCCAACAATCTACTTTTTTAAAAAAGAATTATTTATTTGGGATCCAGCAGGTGGTGTTTTGGCTAAGGTACTGGACTCCCACATGGTTGACTGTGGTTCAAGTGCTGAACTTGGCAACTTGAAACTCATGCTGGGCATGTGTGTGTGCCCAAAATGCTGAGAGGAGACTGAAGAAGGGATTGGAGCATGACCTTCCCCCCAGGGGTAATTTCTTGCTTTCTGTCTGTCTCTCTCTGTCTCTCTAGTGAGCACATGTGAGGCCTACCTATAGCAAAAATCTCTCTCTTTCTCTCAAAAAGAATCATTTAATTTTATTCATTATTTTAAATTTGCTATAGGACATGTCCACTCACCAGAGCGAGACAGAAAGAGAGAGAGAAAGTGAGAAAGCAAGCCTCCAGGTCTGGCACTCAAACAATAGTCAACCATGTGGGAGTCTAGCATCTAAACCACCATGCTACCTACTGGTCCCACCAATCTATTTTCTGTCCCTATATATTTGCCTATTCTGAACATTTAATATAAATTGAGTCATATGATATGTATCCTTTGGGACCACCAGATAGCTAGATAACCACCAGCTAGTGGTTAATGGAGCTGGATTCCATATGGCCAACTGAGGTGTGAGTCCTGGCCTCAGCGCTTGAAGAACAGCCAAAATGAGAAAAGGTTGGAGAAATAAAAGAGAGAGGATTGCTGCATAACCATACCCACTGAGTGTAGTACTTTCTACCTCCCTCTCTGTCTCTGGTGAGTGCAAATTCCCTCTGGAAATTAAAAAATATATTTTATATATATATATATATATACACACACACAATATATATATATATATATATACATACACACACACACACACATTATATATATATGGCCAGTAGGTGGCGAGGTAGTTAAAGCACTGGGCACCCACATGACTGACTGTTGTTCGAGTCTTGAACTCAGCGACTTGAATATCATGCTGGGCACATGTGCATGCATGCCTAAGATCCCAAGAGGAGAATGAAGGAGAAGGCATTGTGGCGTGACCATTTTCCTCCCCACCCTCCCGGGGTCGGTGATTTCTAACTTTCCCTCTTTCTATCTCTGTCTCTCTCTGGCGAACATACACATACTATGGCAAAAACCTAAAAAAAACTAAAAAAATATATCTGTATGTGTATGTCCTTTTATGTCTGTCCATAGCATAATCTTTCCAAGGCTCACACATACTGCACCATGTATCAATACTTTATTCCTTTTTATTATTGAGTAATATTCCATTATATATACCACACTTTGTCTACTCACTCAACAGTTGATGGACATTTTTTTTTTACTATTATGAATAATATTGCTGTGAACATTTGTGTACAAGTTTTTGTGTGAATATATGTTTTCATTGTTCTTGAATATATGCCTCAGTGGAATTTCATATACTAACAGTGTTTAATCTTTGAGGATCTGTCAGCAGGTTTTCCAAAGTAGCTACACCATTTTACATTTCTACTAATAGTGTATGAAGCTTCTAGTTTTTCCACATCCTTGCTAGTGCTTATTATAATCTACCTCTTTTATTATAGCCATCTTGGGGAGTGTGAAGGGATATTTGAATGCATTCTTAAGATGCAAAAATACGTAAACACACTGAGCAAGGAAGTAAAATCTTTTATGACAAGAGAGAAGCATAAAAAGAATTAAAGAAAAGGTCCTACAGTCCAGCTGGAGAAAGAAACAAGAGATCTTTTGGGGTCTATTCTTGATTTCTTGTTTTCATGCAACCAACTGCCCTCACGAAAGTGTCATAATTGTGGAGCCAGCTCCCAATTTCACATCTGGAGCTTATAATAATCAGAACACTATTGCTGGTCTAGTGATTTATTTTATGAAGTTCCTTTCCATGTCATATCCCATTTGATCCAACACCACAAATGTTTTGTTGGAAGACATTATCCCATTCTGCAGGGACAGGCTCTAAGGACTGCAGAGGTTAACTAACATTCTCAACAGAACATAGTTTCAAAAACGGGGAAGAAAAAAAAGAAAAAAGAAAAGAAATGGACAGCACTAGACCTGGAAGTCACGTTTTTTATTTCAAGTCCTAGTTTTTGGTTTCTTGTTTCCTCATTCTCATTCACCTTATCTTTGATGACTCATGAAGTAATGAATGCAAAGACAAGAGAAAGCAGGGGGTATGTATGAAGCAATTGGAGAGTGGAGGCCGGGGCATCACAGTGTCCACAGTCACATGATGAGAGGGTAGAGGGTGACAGGGGACAGACAGACATGTTGTGAGGGAAGTACTGACAATGATGGGTAAGCTCCCATTCCTCCAGTCAGCAG